AAAAACCAGATGTTGTGGAAGTCATTAAGAAGCCAGCTCCTTGAAAGCGTGCATTTCATTAAACATTAGCAAAACCAGCAAGGTGTAAACCAAATGCAAAAACCTTGTGAAAGATACGATAAATCCAGAGCAGGAACAGAGGGCAGAGATACATGCAAGAGATAGGAGAAAGAGAGGATAGAGGATCAGTATTGCTTTTGGTGTGAAAATGTTCATCGATAGATTTATTGTAAACAACCCAGTGCAGAAGCTGACTGTCAACCTTTGTAAGACCTAATTAGAATCATCTTTCCCAGTACAGAAGTAAAAGGACCTGTGGGGTTCTGCTAGAGCAATAAGTGGTGGGTTCAGTGCTGCCTTTTCTCCCCTGTCCCATTTGGGTGCTGCAGAGGGAGGATGGATGCAGCTGCTTCTCAAGTCCAGGCAGGACTGGCAATAGCACATGATGATAACCTCTTCTGCATTAAATGCTGTGCATCACATTTTGGATGGAGGTCCTGGGTGCAACTGTGATTGGGGAGCCTCCCCCCATGCTGGACAGTAGGAGGTGAAGTCCTTGCCCCAAGGAGGCTGCAGTCTAAATGGGCAGAGGCAAGGAAGGGAGAGAACTGGACCAGGGGGCCAGGCTGAGCCGGAAGAACCGCATTCCTTCACTCCTGACCGTCCCAGCACGTGCGCTCAGGCGAGCTGTTGGTCCATTCCTTGAAGATCTGCATTCGAGCATTTTTTTTTTTTTTGCTTTGAACTATCACCTGTTCTTCTGGGGAGAGAAATTACACGCTCCCACATTTTGTCACTTTGATATTTTAATGACTTGTGATTTACATAGGTATTTCAGCAGAGGAGATGTTAAAAAAAGAATGAAGACCCAGCCAGCACGACTGTGCCTTGTAGAAACAACAGCTCTGGTGTTCACAAATGGAGGATGCAATGCAGACAATGCTAGCCACTGTCTTGCAAACTTGTGGAGGAGGAAAGTTTTTCTGGGCAGGCCCAAACCCTCAGGGATGCACTGGCCTTTGTGGAGACTGTAGGTACAGATGCACCTCCCGCTCCCTTCCCTCTGCCAGCTTGACAGGGTATTTGGAAGAGGACACATGATGATCATGAGCTGTCCCCAGTCTGAGCTGACTTGCATTTCTACTGAAATCAGCAGGCACAATTTCAGTGGGGACAGTCAGGTCAAGTGCTTTCAAAAATCCCACCCCATGAGGTGAGTGAAAGGGACACTGCAGAGTGATGGAAATTACTTAACCCTCAGTCTTGGCCATAGGGGAAGACTTCCTCGCACTCCACTGCAGAGCATGCCCAACAATCAGACTCTCCCCCTCGTCCCACTACCATGATCAGATTTGGAGTGTGGCATTAAGACCCAAGGCATCAGTCTGGGTTGCCAGTCCATTGTTGGGTCCTATCCTCTTTCACAGCAGAAACCCATGTGCCAGGCAGGAAGATGCTGGCTGTGATGCAGCTGCTACTTCACAGTTTCATAGTTTCTAGGGTCGGAAGGGACCTGAGAAGATAATCTTGTCCGACCCCCTGCCATGGCAGGAAAGAGTACTGGGGTCAAATGACCCCGGCAAGGTGTTCATCTAACCTCCTCTTAAAAACCCCCAGGGTAGGAGCCTGCACCACTTCTCTTGGAAGTTGGTTCCAGACCCTAGCCGCCCTGACCGTGAAGTAGCACCTCCTGATAGCTAACCTAAA